GATGACCATTTCCATTTTCTAGGGTTTGGGATTTCGGGTTGGGGATATGGGTTTTTCTATGGGGGTGTTGGTGTATGGGGTTTAGGGTGGAGTTTTTCTATGTGGTGGTGTATGGGTCTTCTAATGGTTCCATCTTATGGGCATTGGGGTATAGGTTGTTATGGTTTTGGGTCTTCGGGTGGGTCTTTCGGGGTGTTAGGATTGAGGTATAGGTTGTTATGATTGGGTGAAAAGGGGGGGTGCATGATTAGAAAATGGAAATGGTCATCACTAACTCATTTCCAGGTCCGCGTTCCGTGGTCGTTTGTTTGTGCTCGGAAAAATGGCGTCCACACTCTGTGTGCTCATTTGCGGTAGGACCGGTAGCAGTGCACTTCCTTGGATGACTTCATCCACTACAAGAGCCACCGTAGCAGATCCAAGCGCTGTCATTGCCCCGGATCAGAGCAAGCAGCAGCTTATGCTTTGATGCCTTGACTGCATGCTTGTTGCTCGTCCTTCAACTTCTCTCAAGCTTGGAAGTTTCGGCTTTCGGAGGGAGAGGCTCCCACTACTCATTGTCGAAGCATGTTTCAGCCTTCAAGAAGCCCTGCGAGGAGGCGGCAGAGCTGAAAGGGCTCCACCAATCCCTGTGCCGCCGGAGAGTGCTGCTGGAGGCATTCCGGCATCAAAAGAAGCAGCGGCTGCAGCGGCGTGAGAAAAGAACAAGAACAACGACAACTAGCAGAGACTAAAACAAATCGGAATTATTTAACATCCAATCCCACCAGTAACTGCAACAGTGGCAATGGTACCAGAGCAGCAACAACAGCAGCAGCAGCAGAAGCGGCGACAGCAACAGCAGCAACAGTGGCAACGGCAACGGAAACAGCAACAGCAACGGCAACAGCAACAGCAACAGCCACCAGCACCAGCACCAGCACCAGCACCAGCACCAGCGCCAGCGCCAGCGCCAGCACCAGAACCAGCACCAGCACCAGCACCCGCAACAACACCAGCACCAGCACCACCAGCACCATCAACACAA